AGTATTAACATGTTTAATTAACACATCGCAAGACTGCCTGGAATGAGAAGAATAATTTACAGGTACCATGTATTCAAAAATAAAATCTGCATGCATCAGAATTTATGGGCCAACTATTCACACCATTGACCCATCAGATGAAGAACCCATCAGCATCAGCTATGCTCAGATTATCCATCCATCCATCCATTATCTATACACCGCTTAATCCTCTCTAGGGTCGCAGGCGGTGGAATCTATCCCAGCTGACTCAGGGTGAAGGCAGGGGACACCCTGGACAGGTCACCAGTAGCACACTCACATTCACACCTACGGACAATTTAAAATCACCAATTAACCTCAACATGTTTTGGACCTTGTGGGAGGAAGCCGGAGAACCCGGAGAGAACCCACACTGCACAGGGAGAACATGCAAACTACACGCAGAAAGATCCCGGGTGTCCTCACTGGGACGCGAACCAGCAACCTTCTTGCTGCGAGGCGACGATGCTAACCACCGCTCCACCTTGCAGCCCATGCTCAGATTAACCGATGTCAATTTAGTGGTGACTGCAGGGTTAGCTAGTGCAGTGGCCGAGGAATGAGAGAAGAAAAATTCAAGATGATTGCTGATGATAGTTTGAATAAAGATGAGGAAACTCTTATTTCTTATGGTTATAATATCCTGTTTAAATAAATGTTCATAACTTTTCTACTTCTATTTGACAGAATTACACGTATTGTACCTTTTTGCATTTTATATTTCTTATTGTTTATTTTGGCTTATTTGTCTGTATGGTGGTGGTAATTTTATCTTAGCACTGTAACAATACAATTTCCCCTTGGGGATTAATAAAGTATTTCTATTCTATTATATTCTAACTTCTTATTTACTTCTAATGTCTTGTTTAAATTAAAGCTCATTTACCTGATAAATGTTTGGTCTTTAGAACACTGTAGTAACAACTTATCACTGCACAGTCACAGACCTATAACAGTATTTGTGGGTTTACTATTACATGTCTCCATTTGTAGTTTGTTTTCATTCCATGCAATTTCTTTGATTATATTTCTAAAATCTCAGTTCAGTCTATCTTCGTTGGCTTCATTGTGCTTATCATTGCTTTTGTTTTTAAAAGTTATTCCAATGCCTTTTGAGCTTTACCAGCGTAAAGCCCTTTGAACTGCCTCAGTAATTAAAATGTGCTACATAAATATAGTTGCACCATCATCCTGTCTCTCTGCTGTCCCTGCTGAGACTCAGACAAAACTAAATAAGTAAGCGAGACAAAAAAGCCACCTGACAATTTAGGTTTAACCCTTTCAATACCCAAATTATAGCAATGTTAAAAAATACTATATTATGAGTCTTTTTGGCAAATTAATTAAAGTCCCTCATGTCCCCAGAATGTGTCTTTCAATTTTCTTTTCAAATACTGGAAAGACGGTTAATTTCACCGTGACGGTATAACCCCTGGTTTCATCACTGCTTGAAACGGGTTGTTTCAGTGTTTGAAGCTTTAAATACAGCCAAGCTGCTGCTGATCTCATGCCCTTCAGGAAGGAAACTCTCTCTGCCTCTGCTCTGTTCGGTGACTGACAGAGCAGAGCAAAACAGCTGATCGCACAGCAGCTGACAGCTAGACCTGAATGAGTGTATGAGCTCAAGACACTTCACTGCTTCGAACTTTCTCTCTGCATTATCATTACTGACTTTGTGAAATGACATTGCGGTGATAAAAATCCGTATTTTAGTGGTGCAGAGCAGCAGCTTCAAAATGGCTGGTTAACCTAGCCCAAATGGTCCATGTTTTAGTCACTATTTTGAATTTGTTTCATTGTGAGAAACCGGAAAGAGGCTGTAAAGGGCTGACACCAGATGACATTAGCTTGAGATAACAGTAACCCATCCAGTCCTTGTCTGTTGCTTTCAAATCACTCAAAGTTTGTCCCTCAGCTTTACAATTTCCACATAGCTCTGACATGTGACCATATGACTAAAGCTAATGTTAGGCTCTGTAGCTGTGAAAGTGCATAAAGGCTCCAACAGCAGAACATTTGGTGTAAAAATAAAAAAAAGAAGAAGAAAAAAAAACAGCTGATGTACGGCAAGGCAGCTGCTCCTTCAGAGAGGCTTATCTTGGAGGAGGCAGGCAGTGATAAGGGGAAGGTATATGGAAATTTTTTTTTTGTTTCACAACTAATGGTTACCCAGTTAGTTCAAAAAGTTCTCGGCCTCATCAAAAAACATCACAGGAGATTGCTGCATTGCATTATTTTTTAACATAGTCTCCTTTAATTGTCTTGTTCTTGTTTCCGTTTCTCTTTCTCTTCGGGGACGTGTTGATCTTGCGGCTTCTTCTTCTCCTCACGGGCAATCTCATCATCACTCTGAAAACAGCGACTATGCAAGTGAGATTTTAGTTTGGGAAACAGATAAGAGTCAGACGTGCCAGGTCAGATGAGTAGGGTGCATGTTTCAACAGTTTAAATCCAGATTTGGCTGCTTCTGCCACCTGAACTGTGTGGACGGATGCATGGTCCTGTAGCGACAGCAGCCAGCTTAAACCCTTCCTCTCTTTTTTTCTTCTAGTGCTTCAAACATTTGAGTTTTTGTGAACAGTGATGTCAGGCTTATAGTATACAATTACGTCGCAAAAGGGGAGCTACACCTCTTGTTTCTCGGTGCGACCTAGAACTTTTTGAAGTACACTCTTTCATAGACACTCACATTCTCCCTGGCTTGTAAAGCTGAGAGGCCATCTAGTTGCGGGAGGGCTTAAATAAAGGCAGTAGTAAGCGTCATATTCTTACAGCAAAACACAAATGAAAACACACACAAAAAAAAAACACATTTAGAATGGATTGTCACCTTATGGGACCTCTAAAGGGCTGAAAAATAAACACAAATACAGGATGAAGAAGCATTTGAATGAGAGTGAGCCATACAGTAATGAATGCATGAGAAGAGTGTGGGAACGTGACTGTTGCAGGTTAAACAGCTTACACCATAGGAGGGGGATTTAAGTGCTGCTGCTAGAGTGGAATATTAGCAGGATTATCTGGCAACCCTGTTGCTGAGGTGAATAACATTAGAATCCTATTTGTAAAGACTTCTATGCTTCCTGTCCAAAATCCCCCATATTCTCTCCACTTACTCCTGCCTCATCCTACAATTAGTCCACTTACGTTCTCAGATTACACTCACGCACAAGCTTGAAAAGAACGTTATGTGTGTGATGCACATATTATACTCATGTGTATTTGTGTGTGTTCCTTTAAGCGCGGGTGTTACTTTACGTGTGTGTGTGTGTGTGCATGTGCGAGCGTCGTATTCCATTAGTAGTACAGGCCTCTCTGCTCCCACAGGCCACTAGGCGTGCGTGTCATACACACTCGCCGCGGTGAACACCCTGAATACTAATACTGAAGGTGTAAGCATCTGTTTAGGGGGTGTGTGTGTGTGCCTTTGTACATCTGTATGCATGTGCACCCAATGGAGGGAGGGTGAGGTGGTGTGACAGAGAGTGTTGAGATTGGAGCGAGTATGTGTGCATTTGAGTGTGACAGTGCGTGCCATGAGGGCATTACGACTGTTTGTGTGACTGAGTCTGTTTTGTGTGTGTGTGTGTGTGTGTGTTTTATGGATAGAGTCTGAGGTTAATAAATATTGACAGTGAATTATCTCTTCTGGCAGGGTCGCAGGTGGGTTTGATGGAGCAGATTTGACACACCAGTACGAACCCCCCCCCAAAAAAACATGTATGCGCGCAAACACACATATTCTAATCGGCAATTTCATATTTTTAGTTATTCTCTACTTGAGCAGCATTTAAGTGAGTCCTTGAGCAAGGCACTCACGATCAGTAGCAATCATCTAGCACTTGACCACAATAATTTCCTGCCAAGAAAATAAAGCAACCTTCTACCTTGCCAGTATGGATTCTCCACAGTTCCTGCTCTAGCTAGAGGCCCTCTATCATAACGCAACACAGCAACAACACGGCAATTAGTCACTGCTACACACTCAGAGATCAGAGTAACAGAGAGAGAGATAAGCAAGCAGAGATAAAGAGGAAAAGAGTGTAGCAGAATGGGATGAAGAGATGAAGGGAAGAGACAAAGAGGTAAGTGCAAAGGGAGCACAACAGGATGTTTTTTTCTGTAAAGCTACTTAAGGAAAGGATTTGCTCAACAGCTAAGGGACAGTCACACATAGTTTTTATTTAGCCCATTCGATGAGTGTATGGGGAGCGGTGATCGATTAATGCAGCCTAGCCCTGTGACATTGCCCAGTCATCACTCTCTTCCTCGCACAAACACACATTAAATGCGCACACATTCCTGCACTCGCGCACACTGAAGACACACAGCAAAGAAGAGTCTCTGTTGGCACAGTGTTCCTCTCACTGCATGGCTAAGTCAGGCACAAAGCTATAACGTGGCGTAATGGTGCATAAACTTGGATGTGGGGGGATACAGTAAAAAGAAGAAGAAGAAGAAGAAAAAAAAACAAACACCTTGCAAGGTCAAATTCGCACTTCCTCAAGCATTTGTGTGAGAGCTCACTGAGACAGATATCAGCACTCCCACAGATGCTACAGCCTGTAGGAATTTTGAATGTTGACAGTGTGCCCATTTTACCTTCACACTTCTGTTTAATGATCACTAACAGAAACGCACACTGCCAGTGGCTCACAGCAACCTGCAGTCCTACCTGATTTAATCAAGTCGCAGGTACGCAAGGCTTAAAAGGGACAGATAATATTGATATCTCTATTTAATTTTGTTTATGGCTATGTTGTGGTATAATTCTGATGTGCTTTCATGCTTGTGTTTTTTCAAGCGTTTTTCTAGGTTTTAGGCATTTTTCTGACTTTATGCTTAACTTTTATCTCTTTTCTATGTGTGTCTTTTAATGAATATGATTTTATTTTATTCTTTTTCCCAAAGTATGAGTCAAAAACACTGATGTTTGATTGTGTCCACAGTGCCTAGCTTTAAATGTAAAGTGTGCATACCTTTTTGAAGAGCAAGGAGTCGTCCATGTGCTCTGCATAGACTGAGGTGAGCCTGTATTGGTTCTCGGTGGTAATATCCATCTGGTAGCCGGTCAGGACGTAGCAGACTGTGCGGAATTCCTGAATTTTTTTCTGAAACACCTCCTTCAGCCTCTGGTTTCTAAGCTCTGAGCTCTCCATCTGTTTTCGTAGATCTGCAACATACACAAAAAAAAAAAACACATAAAGCCTTCTGACAACAATCTGAAATGCACAGTACACATGGCTGGTTATATTTTTCTCACATTGCTCTTTAAGTACATGCCCTCACACACTCCATGCTTAATACACATCCACGTATGCATGCTCAACTAACTAAGCTCATGCAGCTTAGACAGCTCCATCTCAACTATACGCTCCCTGCAGCAGTCCATCTGCTCACTTAGGGTCTACAGAATACCATAATGCACAGTGTGTAGTGATGACTAAAGCAGTCAGCTGCATCTCCTAGCTGGGAGCAGAGACAATCATAGCAAATAGAAAACGAATGGATTTGACTTTAATTTGTTGAACATCAATTTGTGATAATTACTTTAATTTGGAGACTTGATTTAAGAAGTCAGAGAAATGAGTTCATCTAAGGAGAGATTGGTTGTTATGGAGGGAGGTACTTACAATGGTATCAAAAGCGAAAAAAGGGACATGGATGTATGAGAGCGCACACGAATATATGGTTTAAGTGCAATGGCTCTTAAATAAGAAACAGACAAAAAAAACTCAACTGTAATGAAATGCTTCTAATTGATTCTATTGATGCACTATGGAACCATTAGAACACAAAGCCAGAGATGGGACGAGCATGTATGAACACCAAGTGTAGTCTCCAGTCATACTGGAATCATCAGTGATCACAAGTCAACAACATCGAATTGCAACGTCTATGACTTCTGAAAAATGAGTCTAATTTAAAACCTTTGCTTTGAACCAGAAGGAGCGCATTCTCTCCTCACAACACCACAAGGTGGATAGATTGCTCTGATTAAACAACAATTAGTATCAATGTGTAAATCTGAAAGTTAGCTTCTCATGTCTACATTTCTCATAACTGTTGTAGCTAAAAATGTTAAAAATATTGAAAAAAGCAGACAGGAGCACCAGAAAAAGAATTAGTGACCAAGGCAGTTAAAATGACCACTTAGCATCTCTGAATAGCTTAGCTTTTGATGACTTTTTAAAGGTCAAAAGCCTTTCAGTTTCTCTTATGTCCGTCTACACTAATGAGAATTATAGTCTTCCTTTACAACCAGGTCTATTAACTCATTACCCTGCACTGTCACACAGCTTTACGAGCAGTTAGTGCATTTTCATTGCTCAGGCTTCTAACCCTGCTGTGATTGATAAGTATTTCTACACATCCTTCTTCTCTTCATACATCTTAGCCTATTACATCTTATATGTCATTATTGAACAATTGAATGGCTACAAAGTATAAACTTAAGAGTCTGTGAGTGTGTCGGTCTCTGTGCCTGTCCGTCTCCTGGGTGACTGGGCTGCTGTCAAGTGTCAGTCAGTGCTGAAAAATACTGTTTCAAGACCTCAGGATTGTGACAAAACTGTCACTTTATGACAGTCATCAAACTGCCCGGAAAATGGCTTGTAATTCTCAAGCTACAGCAACACATGCATTTACTCTAACATGCAGACAAACTGACGTGTACACAGGGACATGGACGTGTCCTTACCTGTGTAATCGCAAAGACAAATATGCACATGGGCACACAAAAACATGTCACTGTGTACAGTAAGCAGGTTGTCTTTATACCAATTTTAGATTTTTTTTTACAAAGTTACTGACTTTTGCCCTGAATTGGTGTCAATGAGTCTGAGTACACAGACACTCAAAAAGCTGTCAAAAAACTCCACTGCTGAGTAATCTTCTTATGTACATCCTTTTGCCTACTGATTTTTCAACCTGAAACAGGGTTGCACAAATAATCGAATATTAATCACAATCAGGACTTCGCCGTCCCACAATTAAATGAAAACGTTCGACTGCAACATTTACATTTAACATGATCTACTTATAGAAAACTCAGTCATTTTTGGTCTCACACCTGTCTGAGTAGTTGCAGTAACTGAGTGCAGAGACTGGAGGCTTTTTTGTGTGCAGCTGCCTGGCTAGCATCTACTGTAGCCTGCGTGTGAGACATTTAGGGAACATTGTAGTATCTACTGCTGAACAGTATATACTTGTATATGTTTGAAGTAGGGCTGCAAGGTTGCTCGGTGGTCAGCATCATTGCATTGCAGCAAGACGGTTGCGGTTTCGCGTCCCCGTGAAGACACCTGGGATCTTTCTACATGGAGTTTGCATGTTCTCCCCGTACACCGTGGGTTCTCTCCGGGTTCTCCGGCTTCCTCCCACACAGTCCAAAAACATGTTGAGGTTAATTGGTGATTCTAAATTGTCCGTAGGTGTGAATGTGAGTGTGCTTGGTTGTCTGTCTCTAAGTGTAGCCCTGTGATAGACTGGTGACCTGTCCAGGGTGTCCCCTGCCTTCACCCTGAGTCAGCTGGGATAGACTCCAGCCCCCCATGACCCTAGTGAGGATTAAGCGGTGTATAGATAATAGATGGATGGATGTTTGAAGTAAAAGAAAAACTAGAATTATGGCTTTGCAGGCATATTAAGCAAATTCTAAAGCATCTTCGGCAGGACAGAAGACCTACATAATCCAACAGTTTCAAGATGGCCACCTAAGATTAATGTCAGCGATTCACGAAATGTGAAATACGGCCCCAGTCTCCCCTTCTGCTCTTCTTTTACAGTGTTGAATAATGGACAGAAAAGAGTCTCTGCAGAACATTATCATGTGACTTTGACCTTTAACCTCTAGGATGTAAAATGTCATTACTTCCTTGGTTTGTTCTACTAGACATTTATGTTAAATTTTGTCTTAATTAGCCCGTGATATCTTGAATTATGAGCAAAAGGTATGCTCACAGTGGCCTTTGACTACCTACTTCCCATTAGTCCATCCTTGAGTCCACGTGAACATTTTTGCCAGATGTAATGAAAGTCCCTCCAGGCATTTCTGATATATTGTATTCATAACGATGGGATACACGTGCGGTCACAGTGACCTTGACCTTTGAAAACCACAATCTAATTGGTTTATCCTTGAATCCAATTAAACTGTGCCAAATTTGAACAAATTCTTTCAAAGCATCCCTCAGATATTGCATTCTGGAAAACAGGACGAACAGACAACCTGAAAACATCATGCCCACGGCCGTTGCCCGCAGCAGAACGCCACGTTAATTGCGTGCTCAAAGTCAACATGTATAATAATATTGTCACATTTTGGAAGAAAATAACCTGCAGGAAGCAACTGAAGGAGCCAAAGAAATTCTTAATTTACAAATTGCCATCATGTATACAGCTTAGAATAACACTTATTTACAGCTTAGTTCAGCGCTTTCATTTGATTTTACTGACAGTACTCGGGCTGCAAAGATGAGCCCACTTAAAAAATAATTCCTGTCACCTTATTCTATACATAATTTCACATCCTAATTCTTTAATATCTCATTGGAAACTTAACCGTAAAGTGTACTAGTTACTAGTTATACTGCTCACCTATATATACAATACACAGCACCAAATCAAAAACTAAGAGAGCACATTTTAAAAATCTTCACATTGGTTTCAAGAAATTGAAAGTGCATTGTGTAATTGAAATTGGACAGAATGTTATATTTGCACAAAACATTTTAGCTAACGGGCTGCAGGGTGGCTCGGTTGTTTGCACTGTTGATGCGCAGCGTGGGTTCTCCGGCTTCCTCCCACAGTCCAAAAACATGCTGAGGTTAATCTGCGATTCTAAATTGTAAGTAGGTGACTGAGTGTGCTTATTTGTAGCCCTGTGACAGACTGGTGACCTGTCCAGGGTGTCCCCTGCCTTCACCCTAAGTCGGCTGGGATAGACTCCAGCCTCCTTGCGACCCTACAGAGGACTGAGCGGTGTATAGATAACGGATGGACGGTTTTCAACTAACTAAAATCCTGATACTAGTATCACAACCACAAGTAGGGACAACTTTTGGCATTGACCTACTAGACACCCACCTCCGGCACCAAAGGGATAGAAGAAATATCTTGCCGTAGCTCCTGACCTACTCTTAAAATTCTCCCGCTGACGTCAAATGCACCCCATACATTGTTAAAAACCACAGCTCACAGTGCAGTATACAGCTGATATTGAGAGAAGACTACAGAGAAGCTGTAGGAAGACACTCTGCAGGGGGCTGAGTCTTATGCAACCTGACTTTTTAAAGCTTTTCCGACCCCGCAATTCATTTGCTCACATTGCTGAAAAAAGAATCACGTTTAGTAAGTAGGTTACTGATGTTTCCTGCAAACACTATAATATGATCCAGGCGACGATAAATCACAACACAGATTGTACTGAATGTGCACAGGTGTGTTCTCAACGTGGGTGGTAGGAATCAATGACCCCCTCCAGTGAAAATCCATTTTTTATTAGTTTGTTAGCATGTCTTTTGGTTTTTTTTTAAATGCTGGAAGACACATAATGAGTGAATTAGGTAGTCATAAGCATGGCAGAGCATTCCGCCTTGAAACAGCATTGTAGTGATAACCCCGTCAAAATCCTGGATTCTGACATGCAGGGTTTTAGACGGAACAACCTCAGGAGCAAATCCTGTCAGCTGTGACTGGGGCTTTCTGTATCAATATTCTTCTGACTCACTTTCCAGCTCGAACATGTACAGCTGAATTACTCCAGCATTAGCCCTCAACTCATCAATGTGTAGCACACAGTAGCTTTACAGTGTCTGAGCGGAGTCGTAGGTGAGCCGGTGTGCTCGAGCTGCTGTGAGGGGAAGGGTGAGCGGATTGTACTTCTATGTTTTGGGACTTTGCGACCCACAGAAGTGAACTTTTCTCCCTAAAACACACCTTAGCACCTCTCCGTCTGGATTATTTAAAGGGCCAGGTCACTCAAATATTTTCTTAAATATCTTGGCTGAACCCATACAGCTTCTAATTCATTAAATTATGTATTTTCGCTATTCCCATTCCAGGACAGAGTTCTCTTCCTCTGAGTCTGTGTGAGAAGCAGCTCTCTGGCTCACGCATGCTGCAGCACACACACTCTGCTCAATGAGACGAAGAGAGAACTAAAATTTCCAGTGTTGTTACACCTCACTTAAGCCAATGCTTACAACGGTCGTAGCCACAAGTGCAGCCGCTATTTTGTAGGTAAGAACAGAAACACAGTCAGTCTGTTGAAACATTTAAAAAAAGCATCACGTATGGACAAAGAAATGCACAGTTACAACGATAACAATTTGTCTCTCCTTGCCCCAGGTATGTTATGTATGTGAACAACCAAGAGCCCACAGAATTAACAACATCAAAAAAATTTAGGTCGATGGTTAGAAGTAACCATTACTCAGCCGACTGTTTAGCTATTTGTACATTAATGAATTCAGTCTGAAATGGTCAGAGCATCATCTAAGCTGTAGTTCAGAAATTCACAGTTTCCGTGCACTCGTAGAAGAGATTTAGTGTATTGGGGGTTGCAGGCCAAGTCTGGCTTCATTTTCACAGTTTCTCAAACTGGCAGTGATAGAAGATGTACTCAGGCTCATCTATTAATACTGTTCAGTGAAAAAACACCCAGTTTTGCACCTAAAAAGGAAAAATGAAAGATAGTAAATTAAAATTTGAAAAAAAATAAAAGCTATTTTATTTCTATCTCTCTTAAAATACAAAAAGAAACAATAAGAGTTTTGTCAAAGCACAGGATCAAGTGGTATCATTAAGAGCTGTAGTACTGTTAAAGTCTTAGTGAACCCCATCTCTACTTGTGGAGCACTTCGGGATTTTTGTCACACTGCACGAACAAGTTTGTTGCTATATCAAGCACTTTTTTTGCAAGAGATTAATAACATAAAGTTATTTTAAATATGTAACTTTTGAATTGCACTCTCAAATCTCATGGCGACACCATTACTGTCAGCGGGGTGAAGTCCCATACAATACATGGACTAAAGCTTTTCTATATTATCTCAGAGCCATTAAAATTATTCATTTGATCTTTGATACATTTCTCTACATCCCATTGCATTGACCATGGTCTGAAGATAAGAACGGTTATCACTCTCTAGGTCTGCATTATCTGCTGGAGTTTAAATTGAGCACACTGGTTAGAAACTCAATTATCATTTCATATGAAATTAAGTGGCACAGAAGAAGACTGTGTCAGGAACAGGGGAAATGACAGAAGACCAGAATGAAAGAAATGCAAAGAGAAAAAAGACGGCTGCAAGATGGGATAAGAGAAGGGATGAGAAAAAATGAGTGTGTGTCAGCAAGCAAGGGAGAGACGGTGAAAGCGCAGAGCACTATGGACCTCAGAAGACCAATTAGACAACAGTCGTTCCTTCACTGAACTGCCAAGAACTCCAATTACATGTTTAACTCTGTCATAACTACACTCACCCCTGCTAGCTGTCATATACTCCCCTAAGAGGACAGAGGCCTTAATGACCCTAAATATCAATGAACTAAGTAGCATAATAAAGTGTTCTGCTATAACTGTTTCCTTTCACCTTTATTAAACCAATCGTACAGAACAAAATGGTTCTGGCACATGCAAAACATTCCAATGTCAGCGATATTTGTTTCAAACAAAAAATAAAAAACTAACAAAAACTTCCGAGCCCTTTCGCACATGTTCCTGCTGTGTACCTAAGTAATATACTCTGTGTTCATCAAGATTTATTATTCGTATAATGTCTGCTCTGGCCCCTCACCTCAGCTGCGGCAACTGTGTTCAGCTCCATAAAAAATGAATGGTAGTGGGAACGTGATGAACAATGGAGCAGCCATTGCAGCTACCCAGCCCCGTTTCATTTATTAAGTCGGCAGTTCGAGCTAATGAGCCAATTTAGTACAAATCGGTTTGTGAAAGTGTGTCTGCGTTGTGGATCTTACCCTGCACCTCTTTTGACGGCGGCAAATTGAGACTGAGGCTGGCGGCGTGTATACTGGAGTCGTCTTGTGAATGCACCGCAGCGCCTCCGCCTTGCAAAGAGCGCACAAGTTCCCTGAGATGTGCCACCTCGTCCCGAAGAGTGTCCACTTCCTGCTGGCGCTCCTGCTTGGCGGCAGCGGTGGGGTTCATTTTGAAGTGGAGGACACGGGTTTTGACTGGATCGTAGTCGCCCTGAGACACAAGGAGACACAGAGAGGCATTTCAGACGAGCTCAGGGCTCCATGCTAACTTTTTACATTGGTTGCAAGAGCACATGTTTTTGGTGTGCTCAGAATTATTCACCACACCTTTTGGCACATAGTGTAGTACATGTAACCAGAGGACTGCTGTGGTATGTTGTTCTAAAGTGGATGCCATGACACACCGTGATCTCTTAGATGACTAAAAAGTATCCTGACAATGATGAATAATAAAGAAAAACCACCATGTAATAAGCTCCCCACTCCCATTGAGGAATAGTACAAAAGAGCTGATAATGCACATGGATGATTGGTGTGGCGCTAGCAGCAGAGGCTAATGGTGGGCTTATTACAGACAGTTCAATAGTGCGTTCATAATTCCTGGGGGCTACTGGCCTACCCCTCCAAAATGAAGCAATCTGTTAACCCTACCCCAAATCAAAAGTGACCTGATGCTAGGGCTGAACAATTTGGAGACAAAATGGGGAAAATCTAATCACAGTTGTTCTGGTAAGTTATACAATTGCCTCTTTGATGTGCAGGATGATTTTAAAAGGCAAGCTTTAGTTTAATATCCACTGTGGAATAGACTAAAAACATGTGACGGAGCACTACCACATGAGACGCCATCAAAAGCGTGACTGTCAGACGAGGAGGAAGA